GGGGTCGGGGCGATGGCGGAGCTGGGTGCGCGCACCACAGGCCCGGGGCGGCCGCTCTTGGCCCTGCCGCGCACGCTTGTCACCGAGCCCATCCGTGAGGCCGCCTCTGCCGCCACATCCCACTGCCCACACGCCGGTTGCTTTCACGCTGAGTTTATGGCTTCCCGCCAGAAGCGAGCGGCAGTGATGCGGGCGCATTGCTTGGTGTTGGCTCGGGTGCGCGGCATGGGCAGCTCTTCTGATCCCTTCTGGAGCCAGGGGGCAGAAAGGCAATCGATGCATAGGCCACCATCCGTGAGGCCGCCTCTGCCGCCACATCCCACTGCCCACACGCCGGTTGCTTTCACGCTGAGTTTATGGCTTCCCGCCAGAAGCGAGCGGCAGTGATGCGGGCGCATTGCTTGGTGTTGGCTCGGGTGCGCGGCATGGGCAGCTCTTCTGATCCCTTCTGGAGCCAGGGGGCAGAAAGGCAATCGATGCATAGGCCATCATCCCTCGCGGGTTGGGAGTCGCACGCACAAACTCACTCTCCTAAAATGTTACAGAAGTTTTTAGAAATAAACACAAAAAAAGACCCCCACTAATTACCCAAGGGGAAACATGCCTCCAGATACCCATATTTGGGATTTTTCTTTTGGGGCCAGCCATATTGGTCTGGGGCTCTATGATACACAGGGGGGGTCACCCCCTCCTGTGCTCCACTTGGCTTGAAAAAGGATACTGTGTTACCCAAAAGCTTGCTAGAAACCAGCCCACCTCCAAGGTGGTCTAATAAAAGATAACAGCTGGAACCAAAAGACTATCCTGATACCCGCAGGCAGAGAAGTTTCCTTAGGTAAATTTGGTATCTTATCAGACCAACTTAAATACTGGATACACTTGTTGCAGGGCTGTTGGTTGTAGCCATGTTGGTCGAAGGACATAGGCAAGGTTCTTTGGGTAAATGTGATATCTTTTATTAGACCAGCTAAATAGTTGGGAGGGAAAAGGTCTTGGCAAGCTTTTGGACACAAACCAGGCATTGGGAGACTGCTGCTGTTATTATTGTTGCTAAGTCTCCCGAGGAAAAAGAAGCAGGACTGCCTTTAACAACAAGCCCGACCCATTTCAAAGAGAGGGGAGTGGGGGTGCTTGTATAAATTCCATATTTTTTCAGTAGTTCTAGTTTTGCTGCATATAATATTAAGTTACACATTTAGTAGCACTGGCAGGCAGCAGCAGTGCCAGCCTCTTCCTGGAGGGGAGGTTGTGCTGTGGGTGGGAGTGGAGCAGGTTTAGCTGCTGCCACCTGTGCAGGGTGGGCAGTGGTGCTGGGAGGGGGACTACAGGGAATTTTGGGGTGGCTATACTAGTGTGTGTGTGTCGTCGTCCCCCCCCCCCAGTTCCTTCCTAGCACCACCCTGGTAGGGTATGCAGGCAGCAGATCGCAGCTCTGGATCACGCTAACACTGCTTCAAGGAGCCGGGGCAGAGCCGTGATCCGCTGCCTGCACACCCTTGCTTGGGGCATGCAGGCTGCAGATCATGGCTCTGCCTCGCTTCCAGACCATGGTATCACTGCCACAAGATCCCAGCCCAGCTGCAGAGCAGCTCCAGGCCCTGCCGCATGCCCTGCCAGGGCTGTTGGGGCTGGTCTCCATGGAAACCCTGGCCACGTGCTATCTAAGTGTGGCTGTTGCTGGGGTCTCCTGGGACAGTGGCCCCAGCCACACTGGCAGGAGCTACTGGGAAACACTGGCTGGATCCACCACTTTACCCACTCCTGAACTATAACTAACCAAAATAAGTGACCTCCAAATAAAACACACCCAAAAAAACCGCAAACCAACTCAAAAAATTTAAAGCAACTTTAAAAAAAAAAAGCTGAATTCTGCTTATTATACACTGGCAACCTTGGCTGTTATATTTGTTCTCCAAGGTAGAAAAGAAGCTAAATGATAAGTCTGTGAAAATGCAAACAAATGGAAGTTTGGAAGACAACAGGTAGAGATAGGAGGGGGGGAAGCGAGGGAAATGTGTGCAGGTGGTCAGCTAGAGGCAGGTTACCTGAGGGATCAGATTGCAGGCAGATACCCAGCTGTTTGTAGGTGAGAGCACAGGAAGTGTTATGTCAGACAAAGCCAGCGGTGCATCTTGTCTGTACTCTGGAAATTGCTGGTACCAAATGCCTGAAAGGAAAATTAAATACATACGTAATTGGTCCAAGAAAAGCTATCACCCTAAGAAATCCTAGCCTCTTGAAAGTATCACCCTAAGAAATCCTAGCCTTTGGAAAGAATAATGGAACATCTGGAATTAATACAGGTTGCAATGAGTGCAGCAGCAGTGCTGCTGGTTGAGAATAAGTGGATCTTGGGTCACTGGGAGCCTTCTGTAAAAGCAAGCCACTAATTCTGGTGGCAAAATGTGTACATGAGTCAGTTCTTAGTATCTACGTGCTGAAAATTTTGTTTCCAGTTATGTTTCAGTTTTTAATGGAATGTGAAAGTTACATGTCCTATATCAAAATAAATGTGTATTATATTAAGGGTAGATCATTGCACTAAATTAGGCTTCAGCACTCCACTGTGATATGTATTTAGTTTTATATAATTTATTTTTAACCAAGGAAACTAAGTGCAAAATATGTTGGTTGTGGTCTTAAATTCGCAAAAGTAAGGTCCCAGAGTAATGACATTCCCATCACAGAGCTGAGATTGCTCTAGTAAAATATTAAAATTACTGCCATGTGACATTTATGCAAATTACGTTGTACAGAGTACAAGGGGTAAGATTTAAGATTGGTTCGAAAGAACATAGCCTGTAATAATCCTGATTTATGACTTGGAAATTTCTGCCATCATGTCGTATGGGCATGGATTTTTTTGTTATAACGATGCACAAATTTTGTAGTACTACATGCATATAATATAGTTAATGCTGCATTTTTCCCTCAACAGGAAGGCCAGCCACGTTTTTTAATAAAATCTTGCAACATTTGCCTGTAGTAGCAGTTCAGAATCCTCTATTACAAAAACCATTGCTATTACCAGTGGTTCCTTTCTTACTGGTAAGGAGCCATGATTGTAAGAAGACAAGGCTGATTCTATTTTTCTGGACGCTTGCAACACAGCAATGACAATGCGTAGATCATTTAGCCAAATGTTAAATGCTGTCTGGGAAGACAAAGAAAATATAAGCGAACTTAATGAAGAAGATGGAGAGGCCTGTTCCATGGCTGTTTCAAATCAAGAGAAGATTGGTACAGTGGATGCATCAAAAGCCACAAAACTTTCTGAAATGCAAAACGTAAGCACCAAGAGTCAGAAGAAGTTTGTGCAGAAAGCCAGTATGATAAGTGACACATATGTACTAAGAGAATCAGACCAGAGGAGCAACAATAATAGCTATCAACTTATTGGAAATCTTTCTGATTCACTAAAAGGAAATCAGTCTGTTGAACCCACCATTCCCTGCATGACACTGAGCAAATGGGATAGTCCTTCAAAAAGTAGACCTACCTCTGTGGGTAATGCAAACTATCTGACACTTACCGAAGTAAATACTATTTCTGAACCATCAGAAAAACGAACGCAAAAACCTGTTGATTTTGCGACTGTAACAGTAGCTGACTTCAACATTACTCCTGAGTCTTTTACTAAACAATCTACAGGTAAGGGTTAAGGTAGGGAAAAAATTCACGTTTCAAAATATTGTGTTTCATATGCAAGTGAAAACACATCTGGTGTGTTGCATAATTTACACTCCTTAAATATTTAATAGTAGACATGTTTTGCTCCCCAGCATATTTCAGGGCGTTTGGGATAACTCTGTAGTGAAATGCTCTTAAGGTGGATAGGAATCCAGGAGGTGTAAATTTAAATTAGAAATCTGATTTGAAATCTGAGGTTCATAATGTATGATTAAATCTGTGTGGTTTAAAAGCAGTTATGAAAATCCAAGATTGCTGGGTCAGCTGGGAGTACAGTTAAAATTGGCAACAGAATTGGCTTCCAAAAGGCCCAAGAAATGAAACATTTGGAAGGTGCCTTAAGGAAATGATATGCTTGTTCCTTTTAAAAGAACCCATTTAGTGTTCATGAAATGGAAAGGGTAATCTAATTGACAGATGTCAGATGTCACCCATAATGCAAATATACTGACTGTGTAAAAATGTGCAAAAAGTTTTGCTGCCTGTTGTGAATTGTCTTTTTCTGATGCATAGATGTCAAAGAGAAATGGCGAGAAACTGTCCAAAGTTCATATATTGGCATATAGAGGATTTCCTATTAAATTTAGGATTTCTTGTGTGGCACGAGAGGACTCTTGAATTCCTATTCTTGTGCTCTCACATTCGCTGAACACTGCTTTGGGATGAACTGGTGAAAAGTAGGCTTGGAGATCACTTTCTTCCAAATACTTGGGGATTACAGAGATGGAGGAAGAAGACTTTGGTGGGGGGAGTGGGGCAAGGTGAGAGAGACCTAAATGGGTGTTTACTACAGGCCACTGGATGAAGGGGAGGAGCTTAATCTGGAGTTCTCTCAAGAACTGACAGAGGCCGCGTGTGCAAGGGACTTGGTTGTCATGGGCGACTTCAATTACCCGAACATAGATTGGGAGGAACACTTGGCTAGGTCGGATCAATCATGTAGCTTCTTAACTGTAACGAGGAGCTTTTTCTGACCCAGGAAGTGCAAGGGCCAACCAGAGGTATGGTTCTCCTAGACTTGGTCTTGGCCAAAGGAGATGATCTGGTGTGTAGCTTGAACATTGAGGGTAGCCTGGGCAACACCGACCTTGAGCTCATCAGGTTGACTGTCTGCCGTAAGGTTGACAAATCAACTAGCAGGATTGAAGTCCTGGACTTCAAAAATGCTGACTTCAACAGGCTCAGGGCATTAATAGGGGAGGCGAGGAGGGACTAGGTTACAGAAGGCGAATGGGGTGCATGAAGAGTGGTCATTCCTCAAGGACACAATCCTTGAAGCACAAAAGAACACCATTCCCATGAAGAGGAAAGGTAGCAGAAGGGCTGGCAAGCCCTCCTGGCTCAATAGGGACATCGCAGTCTTCTTGAAAAAGAAAAAAAGAGGCATAGGCACAGCGGAAGCTGGGACGGTCCTCAAGGAGGACTCTACAACAGTGGTCTGCACTTGTAAGGAAATGAATAGGAAAGCTAAGGTGGCAACTGAGTTTAAGTTAGCCAAGGGAGTCAAGGACAATAATAAGTATTTCTTTAGGTGTGTAAGGAGCAGATGGAAAACAAATGGAAGCATGGGGCCCCTGCTTACCACCTCAAGACAGCTGGTAATGGACACTCAGGAAAACACTGAACTCCTGAATGCCGACTTTGCTTTAGTATTTCACTGGACCAAGGGGAAAAACAAGCAAGATAAAGGATCACAGGGGGCATGGTGGGAATGATAGCCTTCCCATTGTGGATGCTGAGCTGGTGTGTAACCAATTAGAAAAGATAGACATTTATAAGTCAGCAGGATCAGATGGACTTCACCTGACAGTGCTGATGGAGCTGGCTGAGGTCATCGTGGAGCCCCTGGCAAAACACTTTCAGAAATTGTGGTACACAGGGGAGATCCCTGAGGATTGGAAGAGGGCCAACATTTTGCCCCTCTTCAAGAAGGGGAAGAGGGAGGACCCAGGCAACTATAGGCGAATCAGCCTAACCTCCATCTCAGGGAAAATCCTGGAAAAACTCATTAAAGAATTTATGTGCAATATGCTCATTGAGGGTAGGATTCTGAATGACAGCCAGCATGGCTTTGCTCTTAGGTCTTGTCTTATCAGTCTCATCTACAAACAGGTCTCTCACCACCTGGACACGGGAGAGAAGGTCGACATTATATACCTAGACTTCCAAAAGGCTTTTGATCTAGTATCACACGATATCCTTGTGGGAAAATTGTGGGCTTAACAGTTTAGTGGGTGGAAAACTGGCTGCATGGTAGGACCCAGAGAGGTCTCTTAAACATATCTGTGTCATCCTGGCGCAGAGTGGCCAGTGGTGTCCTTTAGGGGTCTGTGCTTGGACCGGTGCTTTTCAACATCTTTATCAATTATTTGGATGTGGGGGTGAAAAGCTCACTGGTCAAATTTGTGGACGACACCAAGTTATGAGGGAGCGTGGTCATGCCAGAAGATAGGTTGCAGATACAGGTGGACCTGGACAGGCTGGAGAGCTGGGTGGACTGGAACCAGATGAAGTTCAACACTGAAGTGTAAGGTGATCCATCTGGGGGTAAACAATTCCCAACATACATACAGGCTCAATGGTGACAATTTGACTTATACCATGACCGAAAGGGACCTGAGGGAAGTGATTGACCATCGCATGAACATGAGCCGGCAGTGTGATGCTGTGGCCAGCAGGGCAAACAATACGCTGGCATGTATTAATCGTTGCATCTCATGTAAAACTAAGTAAGTGATACTCCTGCTGTACACAGCACTGATGAGACCACAGCTGGAGTACTGCATCCACTTTTGGGTACCACACTTCAACAAGAAAAACTTGAGACGGTCCAGAGAAGAGCCACTCATATGATCAGGGACTTGCAAGACAAACTATACGTGGAGAGGCTGAGGGACTTGGGCCTCTTCAGCCTACGGAAGAGAAGGCTGAGAGGGGACTTGGTAATGGCTTACCGCTACATCAGGGTTGTACGTCAAGAACCTGGTGAACAGCTGTTCACCAGGGCACTCCTGGAGAAGACCAGGAGCAATGGATAGAAACTCCTGGAAGGCTGCTTCAGGCTTAATACCAGGAAAAACTCCTTCACAGTCATGGTGTCCAGACTGTGGAATAAACTACCTCCACAGTCACCTACCCTGGAAATCTTCAAAAGGAGACTGGACACTCACTTCACTGGGGTCACTTGAACTCAGTTGTCTTTTTCTGCCTAGTGCAGAGGGACTGGACCTGATGATCTACAGGGTCCCCTCTAGCCCCTAACAATCTATGAATATATGAATCTAAGACACCCTGGCACGATCCCCTTTGTGTCCCACCTGCTCCCCAGAGTTTTGAGAGTGTCTAGTGGAATTTCTTTTTGATACTGAAATGCTCAGAGTAAGCTTTGATTTTTGTCTTGGTTTTTAAATCCTTTGGAGGAGTGGAGGGAGAAGTATGTTCATGCTGCTCTGGATAAGGACTTCCAAAGGCTGACCAATGCTTCAATTTGAGTTGTTTGTTTTAATTTTTCTGAAGGCCTTGCTTTCTCCTCATTTTTGCCATGGTGGCATTGTTGCATTGTTTCTATAAAGACAGGAAGCTTTTCATATTTTGAAAATCCATAGCCTTTACTCTCTAGCACAGAACTCTTACAGGGTTTTTCTTGCCTTTGAGAGTTCAAGGACAGTTTCTGTGAATTAGGTAATTAACTGCTGAGATATCAAATGTTTAAAGAAAATGCTTCAAATACTGCACCTGGGTAGCACTTCAAATGGGACTCATTGTTTTGAGAAACGACTTCCTAGTTTTTCTGAAGGCTTCCCAGGTGTTCTGACCCCTGATATTTCATTGCAATATTTGCATTGCATTTTGTTCATTTCAGGGCAAGCCAAGTCTTCATTAAAATTCAGGCGTCGGTCCACCATTGGAGTACGGGGTTCCCCTGAAAATAATACCCTTATTCGATACCTTGCCGAGCAAAAGAGAAACAGACAAGAAGATCATCTTAAGCAGGTGACAATCTTTTGCAGAACTCTTATATGGTTGGTGCGGGAAAGCAAAGGATCTGACACAACTTAGGTGACTGATGATGACCAGTCAGAACACTTGGTGGAAGTGATATCTTTTATTAGACCGACTAGATGATGATGACCAGCTCATTTTCATAGTTGAAAGCTTTTCAGTTACTATGTAGTATCAAGCACTACAATAATGTTTTTCACCCTTGAAATCTTACTGTAAAAGAGTATGAAGGGAAAGCAGCCTTTAAAAATTGCTAACCTTCTCTCCTTTCTCTCCATGTTGTATGACATTCCTCCTCTTCAGCCAGTGTTATCAAGGTATTTCCTGTATAGTGGGGCTTTTAAATCTTAAAATGTTTGGATTTTCTCAAGTATAGCTTTAACAGTGACTTTTCTGGGCTTGTAATTTGCTTTTCACGTAATCAAAAAGTATTAAGAGAGTTCAGGTTACAGAAAGGACTGACACAGATGCAAATTTTGTTACAGAGCACAGTTTTAACTCCTGAACTAAGGTTTTTTTGGTTTTGTTTTGTTTTTACACATTTCAGGAAAATGATCTTTAACATCTTCTCTTCCCAAATTTTACAGCCTTTTCACATGTACAGTAAAAAAAATCAAATTCCTATTTGAAGTATGAAGCAAAACTCAAATTTAACCAATAGTTAGGAACAATGTTTACATAATTGTGTGTGTAGCTTTGTTAATGTCCTGTGGTAACACTTCAAGTCATAGTTGAATTGTTTTTCAATGGGTTTACTTGCATGCTTTTATATCACAAAGAGGCCATGTGCATCATAAAGTTATGGTCATATCTTTACTGCATATATCAGAGCTCATGTACACATTAAAAAAAATTAAAAACCTAGATCCAGTGTTTGCTTCACTGGACTAGTCCATCTACTATGCTATCAACATCAGTCTAAGTGTTCATGTGCTTATTTTCCTCTTCTGAGGTATAACTGGATGTTGATTTCTTACAGGAAGATAGATATGATCGCTTTAGAGGGTTTTCCTTAAATATCAGTACAGCATGAAGTAATGTGAAATACAGATAGATACTGTTGCTTGTGTGATATAGTTTGCATAAATATGGGGGGAGGTACTAACCCTTTGGAACTGCAGATTGTAGAAAAATGACTTCAGATAGCATTGCATTTTATAGCAGTTGTATATTATGTGTGGTGAATCTCATTTTTTATATTCTCTATTGGTAAACTTGGACTAGTAACCAAATGAAACAAGCCACTTTAAAACGTGCTTATTTGCTTTTTAATTTTGCTCTTGTGTTAGTGAACAAATCCTGAAGACAAAGTGAGTAAGTTTTATATTTAAACAGCATAAAAAGATGCTTTTTAATATGTTTTAGCAGGGCAGCCCTTTTGATCGTCAGCATGTTGGCTCTTTAAAGGACAGAATACATACTTTCCAATCAGCTTTTCAATCCGTGCAAGAAGATGAAGGGAAAGATTGCTTATCTGGGCTCGTGCAGGAGGAGAGAGAGTCCCAGACAGTGTGCTACTGTAAGTAAGATAAATCTGTAAGTAGAAATGTGATCATTGTTATTCATAGATGCTAGAGTCAGAAGGGACAACTTATGAAGCTTTAATAGTTAACCTAGCATGGAGGTGTCTGTCCATTGTAAGTGTCAATATTGTGGTGTCTAACTTCTTTCACTTCTTGGTAAACCCTGAGTTGTGACATTGCAAAGAGTCCTGAAGATAAGTGAATGCTCCAGTGTGTTTATCTCTTGTTTCAGTAACTAGCCTAAGAGCCTTACCTTGTAAAGCTTTCTATGTATAGTCTACTCTGCTTGTATAGATACCAGATAATTGCATAAGCCCCAATTCATTGCTTGTTGTTTCAATTGTAACAACCTGATTTAGTGCATAGCATCTTTGTAATGTAATTGTACCCTGGTTAATGGTGAAGGGGAAGCAGATCTGAAAAGGCTTCTATTAGAAGCCTTGAGAAGTGATGAGAGACAGCAGCTGTGAAGCTAAAGAGCTCCTGTATTTTTCACCAGTTTTCATAGCAGTCCTGAAAATGATGGGAGATGGTTCACGGTTGTTAATACTATAGCCCACACATAGCTGTGTATGGAAAGAGCATTATTTACCTGAAGTACAGATAAGCGCACAGTCTGGTAACTGCATAGCCTTCTTCAGTCCCAAGGCTAAGCACTTAAATAATGTGATATTGAGAATGGTTTATGCTCAGTACTACTCAGAATGTATGCCAAGCTGTTAGGTTTCTTGTTTGTAATTCTTCATTGAACACGCTTGCTTTTATTGTTTGCCTCTTTAATAATGAATTAATAGATTATGAGACTAATTTTTAAAGTTTCACATTATGCAGTGAAGGGGAATGGATGATGACCTACATGGAAAATCACAATTAAAAATAATTATTTATTAATGCAGCTCAGAACAAATCGCCTTTTGTGAAACGGAATGAATGGGCTCAATTGAATGGAGAGTTAACATCTGAGTGCAAGAAAATTGCTTACAAGGAAAGTTTGAAACAAGATTTATGTAATGGTGATAAAACTTTTCTTGGTATCCAGAGATGCAGTATTGTCTCTCCGCCCCTAGAAGCATCTGTCACTGAAACTACTGCTACTATATCTACGGTATGTTTGCCTGCATGGCTATATCTTTAAGAGCGGAAATAGTGAATACAGGTGACCCTCGCCATTCGCAGGGGATACGTTCTTATGATCCGTGCGAAGGGCGAAATCCGTGAATAGCAGCAAATAAGTCCGGGGTGGGAGGGGAGGGTACGGCTCTGGCAGGAGCCCGGCAGCAGCAAGCGCAGAGCTCCGGAGGAGCTCCTGTAAGTGTATAAAGTGTATTTCAAATGCAGGTTCGGCATTCGCGAATATTTGAAACCGCAAATGCGGAACCCGCAAATAGCAGGGGTTTCCTGTATATCTTTTCAGGTGTCCCATCTTTGTGTGTTTATTACTGGAACCTTAAGGAGATGGTGCAAGCAACTTGTACCAAAATAACCAGCTCTATGAAGTTTGGCAAGAAACTTCACTAAGTTAGTGGGTGTTTCATCTCCCTAATTATGAAAGTTAATTTCCTCTTTTTTAATCCCATCTAGCATACAACTCTTACTTATCTGTATAATTGTTTAATCCTCTATAATTAGAGGTTATGAATTCATAAGGAGTGATAAGAGAAATAAGAATATTTAGAATTCTAATAGAAGGAATATAATCTGACTTCTTAATGTGTTTGTATGCTTAAAGAAAAAAATATATACAGTGGTTGCCCTAAAAAGTTGCCTTTTGCCAGCAGTTACAACACTGTAGTGTCTTTACAGTCTTTTCTTACATGGAATAAAAGTAGCATATTTGATCTTGTTCTAACAATCCTAAAAATGAATTGAAAAGCCGTTACGCATTGTTCCTCTTCTTTTGTTTCTTCCTGATACGTGGAGGCCTACTTCAGTGTGTCTCCTTTAAAATTCCTGTTTGTCTGTCTTGTTTTTGATTGAGGATTAAGACCTGAGTATTTGAGGGGTACAAGGATGTTTACTCAAACAATTTAAAACTTGACTTTTTTGGTTTGATTTCCAATACCTTAAGTTAAATGGTAAGCACTTGGAAGAAAGTTTTGTAAAAGATTCAATTTTTTCTCTTCACTTCAGGATCGAGTGCACTCCTGCTCTCAAAAATAGTACATATTAATAGTTTTACTATGTTATTGTGCCATATATGTGTGTGTGTGAAAAGTACATACATTTCATTTCTAGGAAACTGCTTATGCACCACCAAATATTACTGAATCTGCATGTTTATCGTTGAAAGCTATTCCATCCGGAAACATCTTAAAGATAGTGCAAGGTAAAGGATTCATCATTACTGTTGCCAATTCTTTATTAGAAGCTTAAAACTGAAGTTTTCTTACAGATATTGCATTTGCATTTCACAAACAATGATACATTAACTTGAAGATCTGCTAATGATCTAAAAATCTTAGATTATAACAAGTAGTATAACATCACAATTTTATATTGTAAATTATAAGGTAAATTTCAAAACTCCTTAATTTATAACACATTGTTATTTTCCTTCATTGATTTGAACTCTTGGAGTTACCTTAATGAGTTAATTCAAGTGTACTCACCTAGTGCACTCCTGGAATGTTGAGTTCAATAAACACTGTTTTGAAATGTGTTGAATGTCGTATTATATAAGACTTCAAACCAGGATGTTAGGCTTTAAGAAAAATTAAATTATTATTTAGAAACTCTTACAATTTATATGGAATACTGAATTTTAATAACTATGTGAATTTTTTTTATCCCGCATCTACCATTTCTTTATAAAAGACCATAGTGGAAATGGTGACATAATCTGAAAACTAAAATAATTTCAAAATGGCAGGAATACTATTTTTAGCAAAAATAAACCCATATTTCAGGTAGTATGAGTGAAATGGTATCTCTCATATATTGCATCTCTAATTAAGACCACATATCTGATTTAAAATATTCAGCCTCAGTTGTTACAACATAGGCATGCTGCCATTGTTGGGGTGGTTTTTTAATTTTACTTTTGAAGTCCTTTAATCTTTCCATCTCTTGACTTGCTTTAAAAGAGGACTTCAGTTCTGGGGGTAGCAGTGAAAATTTTAGAAGCAATACTACATTGCAGCTAAGAGGGAAGAGAGTTAAATTTGCAGAAGAATTGAGCCTGCAGATATTTGATAAAACAATGTCACCAGTTACACCTCTGCAAAAGGGCAACATATCAACAATTGAGCAGTCACAAAGTGGCTCCAGCCTTCGGTCGGTCCTGAAGAAAACACCAATAAAGCACTTGATGGAAAGTGTGAAGGTTAGTGCACTGATGAGTTCCTTAAAATAAATCTGACATGCCATTGAATCCCTGTTGCATGTACTATGTAGCAATTTAAACATGGTTCAATTTTTAAGAAATATAATAAAAAGTATAAAGCACTGAAGCCAGTTAGGACTCACGTTAGTGAGTGCTTGTTGGGGGGGGGTGGTCCGTGCAATATATTCATGTCACAGGTTGAGCCTTGATGGTTTAGAATGTATTAAGACAGAAGTGGGCAAAATACGGCCTGCGGGTTGGATCCAGCCCACAGAGGGATTTTGTCCAGCCTGTGACAGTTTCGCCTGGCCCAGACACTGCCTGGCCTATAGCACATCCCACTACCCCTGGGTGCACAGCGGGGCTGGGATGGCTCTGCAGCTGGACTGCCTTTCTAGACAGCCCAGGTGGTGACGTATCTTTCCGGGTGCAGCTGACTCCAGCCCCATGATACTGCTGGGGACTCAGGCGCACAGCCCCAACCCTGGCCCGCTCTGCGCTCGCTCTGGACCTGGCCCAGTGGAATGAACCGGCTCTGAACCAGCTGGAACCTGTGCACAGAGCCTCGCCCCCACTCTGTGCCTGCTCCAGACTGAGGAGCAGCAGCAGCAGCAGTGGGGGGCCAGGCAGAAGCTGCTGTTTGTAAAGGGGAAAAGCAGCCCTCCCCTTCACTGCCAGGTCCTTCTTGCTGCAGCTGCCTGGAGCTTGTACCTAGGCTGCCCAAATAATTGCCCACTCCTGTGTTAAGAGGATTTTTTGTGTGTCTTCACTGTTTCTCAAAACGCGAATAGGAATATCCAATGCTCAGTTGTCAATTACTAAAAAGTATTTCAAGGAAGAGATTCATATTACTTTTAACTATATTTTGTCTTAATGAAAAAATGGTTTAATTTTAATAGGAGAACTTAAGCAGCTGTACAGGTGAGAAGGGAACCACGTCTCCCTTAGCATCCAGTCCCTCAACAAGCTGTGAAGCATTGCAGACAGGTCAGAAATTGTTAAATGTTTTCCAAAGTGGCTTATTGTTTCCCATTTATCTAGGAATACAGTCAAGGTGAATTGATACTTCTGTTATTAGTAAACACAGCCTTGCAGAATCTGACAAAAAATATACATGTGAGCTAACTGTAAAGCAGTATAGGAGTGACTTCATCGTTTGTGACCTAGGAAGAAAAACTGACCAAGAACAGGGTCAAACTTACTATGTGTAAAATGCCATCAAATGCTGTAAGTGAACAGTTAGGAGAGGAATATTATGTATTTTACCCTTTGTTTTCAGTGTCCTTTGCACTTCTAATAGCAAAGGTACATATTTTGTTGGAAATGTAACTTTTCAAGTTGATGTTGCTAAAACGATATTTGTCTTTAAAATGTGAGACAATATATGAATGCTGACTGTTTAACATCTGGAAATATACCTGTGGCATTAAACTTGGAAAATATTTCTCTTTTCTTTAACACTCTTAATAAATGTTTTTGAGAGCCCTTCTGAAAATTTGTGTCAACTCCATTGGAATTTCCTAACTTAAAGCAATTGCCTGTTGAAGCCCTTAAATGAAACATAAGATTTATAGAGTAAATTATGGTTTTTACTTCTTTTTGGATTTGCTATGTAATTAATATTATTTGTCATCATAGACCAAACTGAGCTGGACAGCTCTGAAAAGCCAGCAAAGAGGAAGAAGGTCACTTTTGGGAGAGATTTAAGCCCAGAAATATTTGATGAAACCTTACCAGCAAATACTCCATTGCGAAGAGGGGCAATGCCAGCCAGCCAGTTGGGATCGCAGAGCGGTAGTCCTCCTAGAGCAGTGGGTGCTATCAAAGAACCACTATCCCAACCAAATTTTGATGATTCTGATGATGTGAGTTTAAATGATTAAATCAGCTTCTTAAAGTCTCTACAATATGCCTATTCCTATCTCTACAATATGCCTATTCCAATATGCCTCTATATCTATTCTGCTTAGCTCAGTTTTTTAATTTTTTTTTCACTTTTGAAATCTGAAAAAGTCAGTATCCTCTGATGGTTACACTCCTGAATTGTTATCCTTTTGGAATTTTAAACACTGTCCTCACCTTCAACATCCTTCATGAGTGGGAAAGAATTCTGTTAGAATATTATCAGTGCATAATATTTTTACTTTTATTTTTTTAACAATTTAAATAGATTTTGTAGTGTGTTTCTACACACAAACACATACATCTAACAACTACACAAGTCAACCTGGACTATGTACATGTCTCGTAAGCAATATAATAAGGTGAAAAGAGAAAAAATAAAAGGAGGGAAGAGGGAGAGAGAGAGAAGAAAAGACCAGTATGCAAGGAGCAATAATTTAGTTACCAAAATATTCTAAAAAAATCTTCCCAAATTGCAGCAAACTTTTTGAAGCAGTTAGGGCTGCTAAACATGACTCTCTCCATGGACACCAGCTGTGCCATCTCACTGTACCAGATTTTGACCTTTGGAAATGTTCCACTTTTCCAATTCAGTAATGCAATCCTGCATGTCACTAATAAGATCTGCTATAGGAGTGCAATCTGGGAAGGATTCAGTTTGAAATCCTTAGGGATATATATGCCCAAGAACACACACATTTGCCAAAGGTATCAATGCTGTGTTCAAAACCACATTAACGCTAGTTATAATTTCTTTCCAAAAAAGAATTAATAGGGCATGATCAAAACATGTGAGCAAGCATCACCTGCATTGCATCACATCCCCACCACGTTTATTGATAGTATAATTAATTTTTTAAGTTTCAAGGGAGCCCAGTACAGATGAAAAATTATCTTTTGTTGTAAGCACTGTGTTTCTTTATGTCCTAAATGTAACTGTTAGCAAGGTTAGTTCAATACAGTCAGAAACCTGCTAATTTAAATTAACTTTACGTATTATTTTACTATTTTTAATCTAGGAATACGTTAAGCCTCCTCAAGAGCTGATGAAGAATTTTTCCATGACAGACACTTCTTTATACACTAAGGATGTGGAAGGTAATTTAGAATTGTTACTTGTGTGGGGCTTTTTTTTACTCTGTATTTGAACAAAGTCTCTGTGTCTTTTTTGAGAATTTAGGGAAAGGGTGACAGTTGGTTACATTCTATATTGAAACATGTTTCAGTGTGGCTTTTTAGAAAAAAAAAAGTCCTTAGGTCCTCATAAAATGATTTTCCAGTTATATTGTATTATTTTTTCACTAGGTTTTAGGTCAACTTAGCATCGTAGACGAAATCTCAGGATTTGTCCATGAATGTGTACAAGGTCTAAATTGAACTTCAGCTTACTTTTGTTTGTATTTATATGTACTGTTAACAACAGTGCTGAGCTTAAGATGTTAATGTGAACTCAGTGCATGAAAGATACTCCATGATGTGATGGAGTAGCTTTTGGTTCTACTTTCTGCCTAAAAGGTGTGTTGCCTCTGTCACTGAAAGTACATTTGTCAGAGTGCTAACTTGCTAACTTTCCTGAATCAGTGAAAGCTCTGACACTGACTTGAAAGGGTGTAGGATCAATCCCACAAGGTTTAGAGATGAGCATAAGAGATCACATCAAACTGGTGGAATTTTGTTATATCATCAATTTCATCCCAGCTGCACTGAGATCAGATACAGACAGTTTTGTGTTGCATCTGAACTTCTACTAATTCTGCAGTCCTGTCAATGGGGTTTTTATACTGCTTACTTAAAAAACAAAATTAAACAGTAAAAATATACCTTTCAAAATAACTTTTATCAAAATGATAAATGTCTTCCCGCTGTCATTTTTTACCTTCCAAAGCTTTCAGTTTTTTCTCCTAAAATGTCTCCTATTTTTATATTTCATTTAATCACCACCTTATGTAGTTAACTAATTTTTTTAAAGGGCAGCACACTATATATACAAAACAAAGAAAAATGAAAGACCGTGCAAACCATTTATAGGGAATGCAGTGTGTAGACAGAATTGATGGATAATCCACCTATTCCCTAAAAATGTAAACCTGTAGCTTAATCAAGACTATTATCTTTGTATTTTAATAACAGAGACTGACACCAAAATCTCTTGTAAAAGACCAACTAGATCCTGCACTAAAGGAAAGGTAAATATATTTTATTTGATACCGCTTCCTTTCATTATTCTTATAAAAGATATTGAAGACTTTTTTTCATTAACAGTTTTTCTCAGAGAACCCCTTTTTAAAAAGTATACTTTTGCATATATAAATATGCCTTTACTTAGTGTAATTATTTTATCAGACAGCTTGTATGTTTTAACAAAATTGTTAGGGTTGGGTATTTGACCGGTCAAATAAAGTTTGTTCAATTGACCAGTCAAATACCAGTCAAAAATTGTAAAAAAAAAAAAAAAAATTGCCAATACAGTCAAATAATACACAGGAAAAGCATAAATTTTCCATTAAGAAATGTGTCAAAAACAGTAAAAAATCATTTTTCTGTCAAGATAAATGGAAAAATATTCACTCCCCATAAAATTACTATAAACTTCAACTGGACAAAAAATAGGCAGTCAGTTGGCTGCTCAGTTGACAATATTTGACTGGTCAGTTGACTGGCTTGCCAACCCTAAAAATTGTTCTTCCATTTTTATAAAAATATAACATCTCTGACATGATATTAATAAGTTCAAAACATTTTCTGAATCAAAACATAACTCAAATATGTGTTCATAAGCTGTTTCATGAGAGATTCCTTTTGATAATTTTAACAATAAATATTATGATTTATGACAGCACTATTCCTTTGGCCATTGATGTTAATATTTGCCATTTTCCCTCCCACTCAATCCTGGCATAATTACAAGGAGTATTCCCCTGCATATAGCTCCAACTACTTGGTACATCACCTGCCTGAGAAAATATGGAATTACAGAGAAAGAACTGCTTATTCCCATGTTCCCCACCTTCCCTTATTCCCGTGTTTCTCCCCCCCCCCCCTTTTTTTTTGTTTAAAAATACATTACTAAAGATGGATATATTTCTGGGTACAAAAGAAGCAGACTTGGTAAATCTTTTCTCACCACTGTAATACTTAAGCTTTCATGACTTGGTTTATCAATTTAGTAAACATGAAGCATTACCTTTGGGGGATATTATCATTTCTGGTTCATGTTGTGTCCTTCTTGAAAACAATTAAAACTGATGTTCCTTAACAGTATAACAACATTTCAGAAGAGACGGATTTTAGCATCTTTACAGGCAAAAGAACCAAGAAAACTAAAGACACTAAAAACCCACGAAACTGCAAAGGTCAAGGTTCAAATACTTCTGCCTCCAGAAAGACACTGGTAAGTGATACTCCACTAGACGTTTGTAAATATGTCACAAGATATTTCTTAACTACACCACCATATCTCAACCTGTGGGCTGTGACCCAAAAGTGGGCTGCAAGAATATATGAAAGGGTTGTGAACAAACTTTAAAAATCGATCAGCAAACTTAAAAGTGGATTCTTCTTTAAAAGATAAAAATGTGGAAAAGAATTCCAGTCTACAAGGGGCTGCTTGGGGGTCTCTGCTGCCCCACACACCCACCCCCTTCCCTACATGCTGGAGGTTGGGCACAGGAGGCAGCAGGTCAGGAGTGAGGGGCACTGGCTCAGGACTGGCCATTGGTTTTTACAAATGGGTCCTAGTACAAAAAAGTTTGAGAACCACTATCCTAGACAACTGCAATAAGTTTTTCTCTTTCATGGATATGTATGATTATTACTTGGCTATGTTCATTGTAAATGTTTGTTTTTTGAGGAGAGATTGCTTTTATGCCGTTGCTAGTATGCTCTTATCTGTTTCCTTGCTTTCTTGGGTTCATTCTTTTAAGCCCCTGTTCTTTAACATAGCTTTTTGTGAAGGGGCGCTTCGAAGGCTTTATAAGCTGCCGCCTTCTCCACATCTGTCTGCCTCTCTCAAGACTTGACACAGGGGAAGATATCTCTTAGTTTTAAGTCAGAAAGAACCTTATACAAAGCCCCCACAATGACTGTATGCAGCAATAATTAATAGATTTTTCTGTTTGCATACTGCTTCTTTAAAATATTGCATAAGAGTAGGATTTTGTAAGAATCAAGTGAGCAGTTTGAAAGGGAAGCAACTGGACATTTTTTTAACTAGAATGGTACAAATAAATGGTAGGCACAAGTCTGTACTGCTTACTGTGGAAGTGTGTGTATATGCTTTAACTTGCCGTTTCAACAGTTTGACTTGGCTTGAACTTGCAGATTAATTCTAGATCATGTAAGTTCGAGATGAAACTTACTTTGTAAGAATAACCGAGGCAATAGAGCTAGCTATTATTTTAACTGTAGAGAGATACTTATATCTAACTGATTGTTCTAATATTAACCATAGAGAAATAACATTCTAATAAGCTATGTAATATTTTACTTGAAAAATATAAATGGGGCTTATTCAGGCATGTATCCTGTGGGGTTTTTTTAACTCTCTCCAGAAAGTAAAAGATCCAGGTTCTGGGAAAAGAAGAAGAAGAAGAAAGGTACAGAAATCCTTATATGGGGAGAGAGAAATTGCTTCCAAGAAGCCTCTCTTAAGTCCAATTCCAGAGATTCTGGAGGTGATCTCTTCTTCATCATCATCTCCAAAAACACCACAGGCAAATGCTGTACTCTTTTCAGGTAATATAGTAACTCTTTCTCCCTTCAATTTTTTCCCAAAATAAGTGAGAGAATAGTAAAATAGTAAAAACCTGTCCAGGCTTTGAGTGTACATGAAAAATTTAACAAACCTCCAATCTTTTTCTTCTGATGGGAAGGGGTCACTGGGAAGGAAAAAGAAAAGATTGTAATAGCAGAATAGATTCCTTGGAGCATTAGTGCTTAGATTCCCAAACTGGATAAAACTGAACTCTCATACTGCCCTTATGTGTATTTAAAATTGATGTTATTACAAGAAGAGTTAAATACATGAAGTTGTCTGGTAAATTAGAAAATTCTAACAGTGTGCTCACTGTTCTAAATTTTCAGTTTCTCTGTATGGGTTTGGACAGTCTCTTAGCTCTTTGTTATCTTGAGGTTTTTAACTTAATGCTTTAAAAGCAAGTTGAATTCTACCTATATAAATGAGTTCATACAATTGAGCCTAGTGCTAATAAAGGATGGATGCTCCTTATTCTATCGTTTTAGAGTAAAAAATTAACTTTCCCTGCAACATTACTCAATACAATAGATCAATTTTAAATCTTCATGTTGGTAAGCACCAAGATGCCCAAATGATATTACATTATTTATTAAACTAATCTTTTCTACTTTGTGAAAGACAAACTTGTAAGAAACCTCAGTTTTGTTCACAGCAGCTTAATTTGGACAGCACAGAAACTATGTTCCTCTGCATCTTAACCTTAACTCCTTTGTTGTAACACTAATTAAACTCTACAGTATACATACAATATCATCTTCTGCAGGAGAGGACAAAAAAATTCTAATTTATTGCGAGATGTCTTCCCAGGATTTTTGATCTTGTGATCCATGTTGTGTGTCATAGTTAAGAACATTACTTTGTACAAATCATGGTTGCTACTCCCTTCTAAAGCTGCAGTTGCCAGCCTGCAATCAGGGAAATATGCACTGTCATATCTTAAAGAAGAATTGTATGTATTCACGTAATGTGACTTTATGTATAAAAGGTGGGACTTAAATACTGTTAAAAAATACTTGCATACTTGACATTGACATTTGTACCTAAATGCCAGGTGATGTCTGGCACAGTATAAAATAGTATGGTTCCTGCTTTCAGGGAAATAATTTCTCAAATATGCAAATCAAACAGATGTATGCTGGATGGTGGGGGGAAAATGTTTATTTTAGTGCTGTAAAATATTGATGCTTAGAGAAAAGATTGTTAGAATTTTTCTAAGTATATAATTATATTCGATATAACAGTTGAAACGATTTGGAAATATTTAGTGTTGGTTCTGAGGGATTTGAAAGAAGTAAAGGTTTATCATTTGACATACTAAGACAGGGAGGAAGTTTCAGGCACGTGTCACAGAAGGAAGAAGAGGCGAGAGACCGTATGAAGGGAACAAATAGGGGTAGCTGTCCAGAAACTTACTCAGATTGCTAAAATTAATGCTGCTTGGCATATAGAATATTATATGTATTTGATATTCAGAGACTGACTTTGTGACTAGAATGCAATATTAACGTAGCTATAAGCAATTCCAGTTAGCCTGTGTTTTATGAGGGTGTTCGAACAATATAGAAGGCATGTTGTTTGCCTGTAGACTGTTTGCAATAGTTGCTCTTGATAAATGTGATGTGTTGGTTTGATTGAACCCAGACCACACACTTTAAGAGTCTCTGTACAATTTTTAACCTCCCCTACCCCCCAACCAAAAGAAACCCCAACAACCTGTGGGATAGTCTTACCTGAAAGACAGATTTTGGGCATGTGACCAGCTCCCAATTGCTTTGTTGATAGCCATCCATAATATCTTTTGAAACTGCTGTTTAAAATGATTGTTGTTTAAGTGGCATGCAGTAAAGATTTGATTTATTTGTAATAAACTCACTTCTTGAAATTTTATATTTTAGGCATTTTTCTTATTCAAGCAGTTCTCTGTGTGTTCCATCTGTAAATTGTTAACTTTATCCTGTTTTAGATGATCCTGAAAACAGTTGTGACCACATAGAATCTGTAAATGAAGCTATGAAACGGAGAAAAATGGTGGGAAGGCGTAGAAGGAAAAATGTGTCTATAACAAACAAATGTCCAGACTCTAAAGAACTTGTTGAAGCCAGCAGCTCCTCTGACACAGAGACTCAGTCATTAGACTGTAATCTTTTTTCTGTTTCAAGCAATCGTACTGAGATGGACAGTGTGAGTGAAAACACGGAAGCAGAAAATAAGCTGGGGTCACCCTTTATGTTACTAGATCAGAAAGAGAGTACTATTTGTGAAGGTAATCGGATCAGTGAAGAAGGCAATAAGTCCACCTGTGAGTGGTGTGAATCCAGTGTTACAAGAAGGCATGTTTTACCTGTTGTTAAAAAATCATATTCTCCTTTGAAACTACCAAATACTAATATTCAAGAAGGGAAACATATTTCTCTGTTTGGTAAACCTGATAATACCCAGCAAGAGGAAGATACTGTATGTGCAGAGCCCAAGAAAGAACAGGATGGTTTACTAGGAAATAAATGTGTACTGGAAAGTGAAAATCCTTCAAATAACTCAGAAACTCTAGCTCTTTCAGTACCTGTAAACATCCAGGACATGGACGTAAAGAAAGATATTAAAAAAATGGAATGTCTCACTGAAGACTCTGGAAGACAGAGTGATATCAATAATGTTAATTTTAAAAGGTTTCCAAAAAGAGGCAAAAGAAGCACAGTGTATCTTCCTGGAGTTGCAAACTTGGATTTTGAAACAACTGGAAACAATCTGTCTGGTTCCTCTTCCAATATGCAGGAAGTTTTATCTACATCCCATGTAGAAAGTAATTCTGAAACGTTTAGTGATCTACACAACGCTATCGAAGAGTCTTTCAGGAGGATAAGTGAAACTTGTGATGAAAACAGAAGTGTGAGGCGCAGTATGAGATTACATAAAGATGCTGAACATGAGGGACTTGCCTGGATTCATATACCTAATAAACTTGACAAGACCTCTTCTCTGTCAGTTTCTGCTTGCAAAACCAGGAGGGCATCCTCTGTATCCATGCTTAAAGAATCTGAGAACGTTCACCAAAGTCAAGAAAACTGGAATCAATATTCAGCACCAGGGAAGGAAAACCATGAGTATGTTCCTCTTGCTGGAGGTGCTCACAAAATGAGGAGGAGGAGGAGCATGTGTGTATCCACTCTTCTAGAAACAAGAAAAGTATCTCAAACCCAGAAAAAGAGAAGGGCAAGCCTTGTAAGCAGAAATGACAAGAGCCACCAGAAGAATTCTGAAGGAGAAAAAGCTGTAGAGAACCAGACGACCACCTAACTGAATAATTACTATCCATTTTTTAAAGAAAAAGGTTAGTATTTTAATGTAGATTTTCTTTAGCTGCCAATTAGCTGTGTCTTTAGAAGTGGCATTTAGAAATTAAGAGGCAAGGATTTTTTTGTGGATGATACTTTTTGTTTGACCACCTGTGCAGTTGGAAGGGACATAAACAACTTTTTCAGTACCACTGTATCCTTCCCCAGGTCCCTGAGGGAAAAAAAAACCCAGGTACAGCAGAGCTAAATTTCTTGTGTTGTTTTTTGTTTACATATCAAATTTTGCACAAGCCTCTTTTCCGTCTGTTGTTTATCTCTGCTGTGTCTGCTTCTTTCTCAGAGACCTGAGGAAGGCTAAAGTGGTACTCGAGAGCTCATCGATGTCCTTCCCAACTATCCAGTTACTCCAGTGAAAACTGTCACTCACAGAAATCCTTGCCTTGGTTTCTTCCTGGACCATGATGGCTATGACATCACCCCAACACTAGCATTTAGAAATTGGATGTTCCTAATTTTGATGCCACAATAAAGATTTTTTTTTTAATAAGCATTCATTTTTCCTGTTAATTTGCCAAACACTTTAAAGTATGTTTTCCTTTTGCTTGGACATCTGGGGAAATAAAACTTCAAGGAAAAACAGTTTGGTTGTGAGGGTACATGTGTAATTGTCAGGCATGACAGACAATCGAGAGACTGAAATTTTAACTCCTTGATGCTAGGAATTAAATCTCAGAGTAAGCATGTTCCTTTTGTAGCACATTTAGTATTTCCCACAAAGCAGTGATTAAATCCTGCCTATGTTACAACAAAACAAAACAAAAAGCTGGTCAAGGATATAAGCATTTTCAATAAACTAAGAAAGATGTGCTCCTACCTGCTGTAGAAAGGAATGCTGTAGGAATTGGTGATATTCCAAGATACAGCAACAGAGCAAAATGTAAAACCTATTAAAGAAGAGTACCCCTCATGAAATAATGGACTGCTTGGCTCTAGATGGAAAACTTCTTTAAAGAACAGTACAAAGTGAACTCAGGTTTGCTTTCAGGTTTCAGGATACTTTATACCATTTAATGCTTTCTCCAACTTGGACAAATATTCTACACCTAAGGGAAGTATTTTGGTAGGGTTGGTTGTTTTTTTGAAGTTTACATTTCAGATGCATTTTTGTTGCCCTGGGTTTTTTTATGAGGAAGGAAGATATTAAAGCTGAATATACTCGTGATTGTGAACCACAGCAGTATTTTTTGCCCTTGAAACTGTGATTGCTGGATAAAGATGTGTTTTATGGGCAGTCTTGGCACACATACCCCACTTATTAAGGCATAGTCAGCATCTGAAGTTTCCCATTCCCCTGCTGCGTATGGAGAAATGCCAGCAAGTGCACATGTGGCTCTTAGCTGTTGCAGGAAAAGAGAAACAAAGTTGATGGGTCAAAAATAACAATCTTTATTGACAAGTTATGTTTAGGTAAGTGTGAGTGCATAGTAATCCATTCTTGCTTGTGGAGCTTTTGACAGGACAGGAGTCAAGCCTAACTCCATATTATTTCTGAAGACTAGTCACACTAGGTAAAAACTGAGATTGTCTTGACCAGTTCTTAAAGTATACCCTTCTAGTTGTAATTGTATAATTGGTATTTCCCCTGTGTGAATTTCTGCTTTGTAGATCAATTTTATAAATAATTGCTTTTGAAATCCATGTTAATTTTTTTCCAGATTTCAAAAACATCCTAACAAATTTGAAATCCTCTACAAATAACATAATAGAAGAAAGCTCCTGCTGGGGGGCCGTTACTTCCCCTGTTCTGTAGAGACTTTGAGTTACCTTCTTGGCACCAGCAGGTCTGGAGCTCCCACTGCTAAGCGCTACGTGTATTTCACATTAGTATTAGTTTCTTAGAATTTCCATTTTTTGAGGAAGGGTTTCTTTAACAAGCATGTTTTAATCTGTACCGTATCAAATGGGAATGTTTTTAAAGTTAAACCATTTAGAAATGGTTGTGCAAGTGCCTGACAAAATGAAGTACCATTTAATTGAATGGTGGCTATTTTACTTTTTCAATATATGTATACTTTAACAGAGTGTGTAATATACAGTAGCTAACACCATCTTCCTGTTTACTTGCTTCTAGTTTTCACTGTGGAATGCAAAATGATGGATATGGTCTACTAAAAAGACTCAGTATTGTTTTCATATTTTACCTGTTCTGTTTCAACACTAGTGAAGTCAAAGGTGTCAGCTTTAAAACTGTTTCCGACTGTTGAAAACTATCTCCGCTGTAAACTTGCCCTACCACTTTATATGAACTGGAATAAAATTTCTATGCATTTGAACTTATACAGTTGGAAATTCAAGTTAAATTACTTTATTGTATACACAATTTATTTGTCCTATCTGTAGAGACCTAAAAGCCAGGGGCTGCTAAGCAGCTTTCAAGAAACATCATCAAGAGAAATGTTCATGTTTGTGCTGGTGAATTCAATTAATGATTCTGCATCAGGACACGGTCTCTTTCTTACTGTTTTCATCTTCTGCTTAAACTTCTCGTGAACGAAATGTTTCTTATGTTCTTATTTGCTCATGGTTGTCTTCTACTTTTAGACTGATGTCTAGGAAGGAATAATGCATGCTGCCTCAACAGTAGGAAAATGAAATCAACTGACAATTAAAATGTTAATCTTTAAGGTGGGAGATATGATGAACACCCAAACTACTGTGTTAATTTCTGCTTTTATAGCAATATCTTTGCATTACCAGAAGAGGGCAGCCTGGCACGAGTTGTTTTTTGTTTTATTGTTGTGGGGGGGGGAGAGGGGGGTTATTCCTTATTTTATTAATAAGGTAAGCATAGACAAGCCTGAGTTGTTAAAAAAAAAAAAACCCCAACAACACGTCACAAAATTAAAAATCTTTGAAACAGTCCCAAATCATAGGAAGGAGAAAATTGTATGTTGCTTTAATAATAGTGGCTGGGTTTAGTGCTGTTACTTAAGGTTGTTTTTGGGTTTTTTGTTTTTGTTTTTTTTTACCTATTTTAAATATTATGGGATCAAAGTGGGAGAAATGGTTTTAAAAACATAATGGAATTATTCTGAAGAATTACAAATCTATATTATATTGTTATACAGTTTATACAATTATCCATAATCTGGACAGAAACCTGTATATAGAGCCTGCACAGCACCATCTCTCTTGAGACTACTTTTTTCTATTTGTATTTAGGGGGAAAATATCTTTTTGAGGATATGTAATTTTCAAGGGGTTACCTAGGTTAGAGGTTGAAACCAAAGGGCAAGTAAAAAGGTAACAGATTTCTGAACTTAAACTGAAAGACTAAACTGAGACTTCCTGGGAGGTAAGACTGGGCTGGCTGGTAATTAGAGAAAGACGTGATGTTTGAGGGTCATTTGGATTTTGGAAGGAAACAGTGAATCTGAAAGAGGACTTGGCAGTGTTGGAATTAGTGCATGTGTATATGCCTGCATGTATGTGTGTGCATGTGTACACGTGCCCACACACATGGGCTCCTTGCATGATGCCTAATTATCATGCTGCTGCATGAGAAGTGGAGCCAGGATTTAATTCTTACCTCTTTTTCAGAAATATGAACAATGCAGTGAGCAGAGAAGACCAAATTGGTTGCAAGAAGATTCCAATTTTCCGTTTTAAACATGACAATGTTTCCTTTTGAAAATAGCATGAAGTTTTACCTTTCTTTTTTTTAGTCAGCCTTTAGTAGTCATGCTTCATTTCATTATTACCTAACGTAGAAGTACTAAATAAAAGAAATTCAGGTAGCATGGTCTCTTGGGAAAGTACCCACCTTTTAGGCTCAGTATGATTTTGGTTCTAATCTTGATTATAAACCACAGATTATGGTGCTGTGTAGTGCAGGTTTTAAAGGGATGATGATAGATCAAGTTAGTAAACCTACTGCAGTTACCACTACCTACACTTCTATTCAGGACAAAACCATTAGAATTAAGGATGTATAAAAAGACTGACTGGAATTTGAAGTTGTTAGTTTGAATTATCCAACCGTGTCCTCCTTATGTTAAAACTTAGATTTGATATGGCCAATGTGGAATGTGAACTCTGAGGCAATGACTGTCTTCTGTTTTCTGTTTGTTCAGCACCTAGTACAGTGGTTCTCAGTCTTTTTAGAGTTGAGGCACTTCTTGGAAACTGCCAGCTTATAGTCAAAAAGCAAGTTAAAAACCACAGAAAAGCAATAGGGCAGTTTTTGTTGTTGTAAACAAGTCAGAAAGAACACAGGCAGAATGTTTTTAACATTACAAACTCCTGTTTGAAATGTCTCTTTATCTTGTGAATCATGTTTGCATTGCGTGGCACCTGATGGCACCTTTGAAAGGATCTCAAGGCATACCAAGGTCACTTTGCACCCCGGTTGAGAATCACTGACCTGTTGTCTCTCATGCTAGGTGCTCTACTGCAGGGCAAGTAATTGTGTGGCCTTGGCCAGCCCTTTTCACCTGTTCTGCTTTCTGTTTCTGTCTAAAAGGAAGGCTAATGTTTTCTCTCCCAGACAGATGTTGAATAGATTACTTTAAATAAATTAAAAGCATTTAAACAGCACTTAGTATAGTGGTAAGTAGTATGTAGGCCCAAATGATTTAAAGTATGGTAATAGCTAGACTTGTGTATATCTATCAGTGATTTGGGGCACAAATTCTTTCTTGGAAATGTGCTAGTTAATTTGCCATTCAGTTGTAAGTACTATAACCTTAATTTACAATAACAATATATAGGGTTGAATAATCCAGTTAGCAGTGTGTGGTAACTGTCCGTGTGCCTGAAATTCTTGCAGTAAGCAACAACTAAACTAGGGCTACTTTCCCTGGTTTCCTTCAGGGGTAAGCTGTCCTGAATTTGGTTTCATTTACCGTGAGATAATTACAGGCACATAGGCAGTTACTGCACATCAGCACAGTAATTTGCACCATATCAATTAAATCTGATGATTTGCCCACAGTAAGTGTGTTGGAATAAAAACAGCAACTACTTATC